CTCTTTCAGCAGGAGCTGAGACCAGGAATATGACTGCTGAATTTGCTCCAAAGCAGATTTCTGCAGAAAGGAATTCATTGGTTGCTTTCCAGGATCCAAAGTGTGGAGAAACTTTTCAATATAGGGGTAAATCAGAACAGCAAAAGGTCAACCCCATGAGAGTAAAACGACACAAATGTAAGGAGTGTGGAAAGGCCTTTGCTCAGAGCTCAGGGCTTGTTCGACATTGGAGAATTCACACTGGAGAGAAACCTTATAAATGCAATCAATGTGGAAAAGCAGTCAGTTATAAATCAGCCCTTCTTTCACACCAGGAAATTCATAATAAAATAAAACGCTATCAGTGTAATGAATGTGGGAAAGCCTTCAGTCAAAACACAGGCCTGGTTCTTCATCAGAGGATCCATACTGGGAAAAGACCTTATGGATGTAAAGAGTGTGGTAAATCCTTTAGTCAAAGTTCACACCTTATTGGACATCTGAGGATCCATACTGGAGAGAAACCCTTCAAATGTAATGAGTGCGAGAGGGCCTTCACTCAGAGGTCAGGACTCATGGAACATCAGAGAAGTCACACTGGAGAGAAACCATATATGTGTAAGGAATGTGGGAAAGCTTTCCGAGGGAGCACCAGCCTCACTCAGCACCTGAGGATCCACACTGGGGAGAAGCCCTATCAGTGTGAGGAATGTGGACGAGCCTTCATTCAGAGGTCAAGCCTTGTTCGTCATCAGAGGATCCACAGAGGGCAGAAGTCTGTTTCTGTATTCTAATTGTAAGAAGACCTTTAATCATAAATCAGACTTTACTGAACACTTTAGAAAGCTATGCTGAATACAGACCCAATCGCTGTGTAATATATTCAAGAAATTAGGGATGTGGTGTCTCCATTGTTATTCTAAGTAGCCAAACTAGAAGAGATTCTGATATCATCCAGCAGATTGAAAGAAGCTGGTAGCTTGTCAATGGAGCAGACCATTCACATTTTGGCCTGAGTCTGTTGTGGATGCCGCTATTTCTTTCTCCCATTCTTTTGGTCCTTCTCCTTTGTGGTCCTTCAGCACTTTTGCTCCTTGAAGTCACTACCATCACATACCCTGAATAGCCTGATGATTCAGTGGCTCTCAGGTTTTGAACAGAAGATCACTGAGACTGTTAGTGTGCATACTATGCAAAGGAGAACTTAGCAGGATGAACAGGGAAAGTGATGCTGTTGTTAAAGTTATATAAATGAGGGGTAAGCTAGGTAAGTTACACTTAAAAGTGACTACTCAACGACATAGCTTGCTGTTTTGTTTGCCTTCTCTTCACCCTGTTGGTGAGGGAGGAAGTTCTACCCTAGGATTTGGAAGATGGCCAAACATGACACCCGACACTGGACAGATGGGATCGCCAGCAGTTAATTAGCTGCTTATACTCATAGCCTAGGGGAGGAGGGCCACTTGGGAGCAGAGTGAACAAATAGGAGCTTTGGGATACAGGCTTTGTAGTAATAAGATGGGGTAATGTCTGGTTTCCTTGGGAGGATGTGATTGGCTTGTTTGAATAATTTCATGGGCAGGCAAGGAGGTGAAACCCAGTAGGTTGAGAAGTGTATCTAGTCCAGCTGATGGGGAACGAGCCAAGTGGGGTCACTTCCTGCTGGGTGGGAGGCATATATAGCAAGAGCAGAGGAACCGATGGTTAGGCTTTTGGGTCCCTGTGAGGCTCAAAGATGTCAAGGCAGCACAGGAAGTTTTAGGCCTTGCTTCTCACTTTGTCAACTTAGAAAAAAGGCATAGTTTTTAGGAAAGAGTTATAATGTATATCTGTGGCCTCAAGAGTGCTGTTTATTCATATGTACTCTTTTTTTTTCTTTTTCTTTTTGAATCTCAGTGATACATATTCCTCCTCCAGTTTATCTCTAGGAAAAAATCCCAGAAATACCTTTGACCATCCAGCATGCCAGTTGGACTTGATCCCATATTGGTAGTGGAATTGAAGAGACATCAGGTAGCAGAGTCTATAATGCTTCTCCTACATCTTTCTGACTCATGCTAAAAACCAGTAGAGATCTCAAGCTCAGCTCCCTCACTGTCCACTATTATCGTCTGGATACCTATGTCCTCATTATGCTTTAGTTTATCTTTTCAACCTTTGGAATAGACAGTCTGAAAAGCATTGGTGTTGTCTTCTACTTTGAATGAAATATATTTTTCACTATTAGGAGGATTTGAGAAACTAGAAAGTTTATAAGGTAGAAAGTGTATAAAAGTGGGATATTTCACTATATTCATATTTTTATAGGGACGGTATAAATAAACACCAACCCAGAAAACTCTGGAGGTGCTAATTGTTCATCCTTAGTGCCATCACTTACTTTGTCTTGCCTTGTTTCAAGGCTCAGGTAGGAAATACCTTAGAGGTTGACATCTACAGGTCAGAGGGAAATACCTATGCCAAAAATAAAAGAGAAGTGGATAGAACATTAAATCTCCCTGAAGTGAGACACCTTGAAATTTAAAATGCAGACTTTCACAGAATACTTGTACATTTGAGGAATTTTCAACCAGGTGGATGAATTCTCCTGTGAAATGTGCTGATGAACTGAGCTTTTCTGGCAGTGGGAACTATGCCAGAGATGAAAACTGGCCTCTGAGGATCAGATACATTTGGCAGACATTTGTGTAGCTCATTCATTGTTTTTAGGAATTGAATTAGCTGTCAACTTAAAAAAACTTAGAAATTTTATGCAGAAATGGGATTTCCATATTATTTTGAAAAAAATAAGATCTGGCATCACTGGGCCAGACCTCTTACCTTCCAGTTCTTTCCATGCCCCACACTCCAGCTTTCTTATGTGTCTGAGCCTTGGAGACATTTGAATTTGCTTATCTGGAGAATGACTACTTCAGAGGAGGGTTTTATTTAATAGCAGAGTAAACTAAATAGAAACAAGGTGAAGTCATCCTTGACTTTTTGATAGGTTGTTTGCAAAAAATGGAAAACCATAAATTGAGAAATTTGAAAAGTAGGATACAGGTTTCCCCTGCTACCTGAAAGTGAAGCATTACTATGAAACTTTTTGTAAGCCGAAATGACATAAAGCAAAGAGGCAGTTACCTTAGGACACATTTTGCTAACGAATGCACAAAATCGAGATAAAGCACAGATGCTCACAGACACAGTTCAAAGCTATAGTGGCTTAATGCTGAGATGCTGAGTGTAGTTCCCAGGGAAGGAGCTTGGTGGTGCCACTCTTGCTGCTTGATTTGCACGATACCTCTCTACAAGGCTGGCTGCAAAACAAATGTTGAACGCTATTTTCGCTTCTCACCCTTTTTTGGCAAACAAAATCCTCTTCGGCTTTCTTTCAGTTAGTGAAAACAGGTACTAATGTAGGCCTTTATTTGTAAAGGTGAAGAGGCGTAAAGCAAATTTTCAAAGAGCAGGGGATACTTGTATTTCTTGATTTAGTTTAAATAAAAATAATGAAAACATACATAAGTGTCAATAATGTTACCTTTGTGGACTTGCTAACCTTAGAGTTAGGGATGTGTTTACAAAAGTAAATATAACAGGTCTCTCCACAGTGACTTGGCTAGTATACATTTCTGAAGATATGTGTTTAAAGAACGGTTATTGCCTACATATGTGTCATGCATTTTAAGGGTATTTAAAAAGGTAAATAAAACACGGATTCAATGGTGAATTTACAATTCAAGAAAGAAAATTTACAATACAAAACAAGGATAAATGAACATAAATCAAAAACAGTTCTGCCTGGGAGAATTGGGAAAGTATATAATGAAGGTGGGCATTTGTGGGACTTTACGGATGAATAGGATTTTGGTTATTAGTCGAGATTCTAAGAGAAACAGTATATATTATTCTTTAAAAAAAAAAAAAAAAAAAAGGAATTGGCTCAGACGATTGGGGGCTACTCAGTCCAAAATATGCAGGGCAGGCTGGCAGGTGAACTCAGGCAGGATTTCTGTGTTACAGTTTTAAGGCAAAATTCCCTCTTGGGGATATCTCAGTTTTGTCTCAAGGGCTTCAGCTGATTGGATGAAGCCCACCCATTATGAAGGGTAATATCCTTTGCTTCAAGTCAACAGATTGAAGATGTTTATCCCATCTACAAAGTACCTTCACAGCAACATCTACACTAGTGCTAAAACAACTGGGCACCGTAGGCAAGCCAGGTTTACATACAAAATTTAACCATCACAGATATATAGAAAAAAGCAGAAGAAGCTGTTAACACCACACGTGTCACTGATATTGCACAGGGGTGTTATGTGCAATTCCTTTTAAAGGGTGCTGTGTAGAGTAGTAGGTTATATCAAGACTTGTTTCTCTGGGCTGTTTACATCAAAATTGTGTCTTATTTGCTTAAGTATGCCTTCCATGTTAGAGTCCATTTTAAAGAAATTCAAAGCACTTTGGAGGTAACAGTATACAGGAACAAACCCAAGAATGGTATCAGGGAACTCTCACCCTGACTCGCCCAGTGCCCCTTAGAAAGCATAAAACTTGGTTGGTGAGCTGAACAGGTTGGAAAAACTTCCCTGAGTTCATTTCATTATTCATCCACACATTTTATAATAAATCTGACCTGTCGATATAACTGACTTTGGTCCTTGGAACAGAGAAAGTGAGTGACTTGTTTAAAGTGACCTAGTGCAAGGCTTTAAAATTTCTTGACTCCAAGTCTGGCGTCCTTTATGCTACTGTTTTCCGACGTACATTTCCTGGGTGCAGTGGTCGACTCACAAACACCGAGAGGGCGCCAGGCTGCTCTCTAGAAGAGTCTGGGTCTGCAGAAGCTGTGAAGGAGGGGGAGCTCTGCAAGGCGGCCTGGAGAGGCCGGCGGCAGGGCGGCCCGGGTGAGGAGGGAGCGCCTGGTAACCACCAGTGGGGCGCCAGCGAGATCATAGAGATGCTCAGACCTTCCAAGTTCCTGTACAAACCCCGGAAGTAGAGTCTCCGGGACCGAGATCCTAGGTGACTTGTCCAGCTGTACACTTGTGTGCACGTGTCGGGTCGCACTCCAGCGCTTCTCCCTCTTTTCTCTAGAGCAGAGCCGGCCGTTTCCCGGCCTCGGGGTGAAGAATCGGGGTTCCTGAGTGGGTTGTAAAGAGAGGGCAGATGCTAGAGTCGAGTTTGGGGGGCGTGGGGGCGACGCCTCGCTCTCCGTGCGCAGCCGCGGCTGCCAGGTGCGTCCTAACCCCCACGAGACCCCTATAGCGCATGCGGAGTGTGACTTCATAGGCGCAGGGGAAGCAGGGTGGGCTGGATTTCCCTGGCGTTTGCTGCCATGCAAAGACATACCTGTCTCCGCAGCCTTGGCAACAGTTTGTCCCTAAACTGTTAGGCTTGGTTTGTCACTATTTTATCTTATAAAGTTAACAAGCTTATGTAAATTCTTGGCCGCCCAGGTAATTTTGTTCTGTTTACAATACGTTCCTATCCCCCAGAGCCCAGGAGCGCCTTCACCTTGACTCTGTACCCTAAGTCAAGTGAACTTTGTCTTGAGCCATCATAGCCCAAGATATCAAAAGTTTGGTGTAACCCTGACTTCTGTAGTTCACGTTACTAGGCGCAGGAGGGTTTGCACATAGTGAAAGTGGAAAAGAAGCACATGCTTGGGAGAGGCCTAGATTGCCTGGGAAGGTGCATCCTCACCAGAAGTTCTGCCCCTAGCGTTTCAGGCAGTTCTGCTACCAGGAGGTTCCTGGACCTCACAAAATTTGAACTTTGTCATTACTGGCT